AGAAGAAGAAGAAGAAGAAGAAGAAGAAGAAGAAGAAGAAGAAGAAGAAGAAGAAGAAGAAGAAGAAGAAAAGAAAACGTCTCCCAGAATTTATAAACGAAAATTGCAATATCATCTTTGGTCACGCATGAGATTGCTTTGGGAAAAATGAGATTTTCCTCTTCAATGACACAGGGTGAGAAGTGAGACTTCAGATCCATTCCTACCTTTGCTGCAAGGTGGCAGCACTGTCATGTGGCAGCGACTGAAATTTTTAAACAGAACAACAGAGAACCACAAGGGAGTAGAGAATCATGTGATCATAGGAAGGGAACAGTCAACAAAAATCTTGAAACCCCAGGAAAGCAACGGAGCCCTTTAATCTGCTCTCCTGTGTTGAAAGAATCAAGCAACTGCAGCAGAGGAAGAGAAGCAGGCCTAGGGGAGATTTGCTGCTGGGCTGGATGCCCAGGGCTTCCTTTATCCCTTCCCCATTTTAGCCAGCAAACTGTCCTTCAGGGATCTCCCTTCCATTAATGTTTCCCACCAAGACTCTGATGCTTAGTTTGGCCAGATTTCAAGCTGTATAGAGGCGTCAGTAAACAGGGTGCTACTTAAATAGTCATTTGATTAAAATCGCACAAAGCCCCTTATGTAAAGTCCTTTGAACCAACTCTTTATGTGATTATCAATCAAGAGTTTCGGCCTCCAGAATCTTCCCATGAATAGCTAAGCCCATGTGGGCTTCAAAGAAGCATATTTGCAGCGGGTAGGAAGGCTGTGGAGGCCCTGGACATCGACAAATATCTAATTAGACGTGTCATTCTTTATGATCTCACCTAGGTATGCTATCAAGAAGTCTTTAGAGTCAGGCATAGTGGTACACAGCTGTAATCTCCGTTCTTGGGAGGCAAAAACAAGAAGATCCTAGGTTCAAGGCCAGCCTAAACTACAGAATGAATTTCAAGAAAGTCTGGGCTGTAAGGAAAGACCTCTTAGAAAAATCTTTAGAGCTTAATACTGATTATATACTCTTTGCTAAAAGAAACAATTTTTGGGGGAAATGCAATAGCAGCGATTCCCAGCTGCAGACAGTATCACTCAGGCACCATATACAGCTCTTTCTCACAACTTCTTGACCCAATTGCCGCAAGAAAGTTGTTTTAACTATACTCATTCCATTATTCATAAGTGTGAAAAATACACAATTCCATAAATATTCCTATGCTCATATGAGCTTATGGTTATAACTGTAAATGAATTCCAGAGATCTTTTGGATGAGACTCAGTTTATACAAGGGAAAAACTGAGATCCTGAGTAGCCAAATAATTTCCCCAAGGTGGCCAAACAGGCTTGAACTAGAACTTAGTTCTACTGATTCCTAAAGTCCGGTGTTCTCCCCAACATAAGGCACTGACTCATTCAGCCCTAGTTTCTTCCTCTCTCCTAGAAACTGTAGCTCTGAATAGGCATCTCCATATCGCTTAATGTTGGTGTGTATAGCTATGTGTCTCCATCAGAGAGCACGCCTGTGAATGAGTACGTGTCTATCTGCAAGTATTTATGGAGCATATCTTCGGGTGTTTATGCCCTTTCTGTTAGGGAAATCTCTAGATAATGACAGTTCCCAAGCTGGCAGCAGTGAAGCTGGCCCGGACCTTCAAAGTCAATCATTAATAAGCTTTTTCTCCAATCAGCTATATTCCTGGGTCTTCAGGAAACAGGGCAAAATAGTCAGGGTAGAATCAGATAGTCAGTCAGAGTGCAACTTGGTTCCAGGACAGTAAAAGCAACACGAGGCAAGGCTATACGGGGCTATGACGGAGTAACAGTGGGCTATAGGCAGGAAGTGCTCATGAGCTCAGACTGGCATGGATACCATCTTAATCTTCAGTCTCATCGTTGCATCCTATGATTCCAACAAGAACGGTAAGTGCTCCTCTAGCCTAATATGCTAGAACATCCAAAAGGAAGCCCAGAGAGCTTTTGGAGCCTCTTCCATCAAGACAGGAATATAGCCAATACCCAACAAGTTGTACACTGCAGAAATTACCCCATACATCTGATTATTAAGCCCAAGGAGACATCTGTCTGTTTCATGAGAAGTCTTCAGGGAATGTGGTGCCTTCCTTTTCCTTGCTTACAGGGATAACAATAAAAACAGAGTAAGACAGCTTCCATTGTGAGATGGTGACACCGTTTTGTAAATAGCCTCACCTAGGGCTCTAAAGTTCATAACCCCTCATGAGATGTTGCCTTCATTTTTCAGGTAGTACACTCAAATAGTTGAAATAGAGATGTTAATGGGGAGGAGCTGAGGGGAAGTTGATATGGGGGTGGAGTGGCACTGTTTGCTACCCTTTGGTAATGGTTGGTTGATGAGGCTTTTTGTTTGTTTGGTGCCGAGGCTTGAACGCCAGCCTTAAGATGCTAGGCAAGTGCTCGACTACTGAGCTCTGCCCCAGCTCTGGTAGTAAATGTTCATTTAAAATAGGATTTTTTTCAGAGTTTCCTAAACATTTCTCTAAAATTAGCTAGCTGGAGGTTAAATCAAAATAGTATGGAAGGTGCAGTGGTAGTGTGCTTATGCCAATTAAGAAAAGTTACACCTGTGACCCAAGTACTTGAGAGATGGAGGGAGGAGGATTGCCATCAGAACAGAGCCAGCCTAGACTACAGAGTGAGATACAACTTTCTTCTTCTTCCTCTTCCTCTTCTCCTTCTTCCTCTTCTTCTTCCTCCTCCTCCTCTTCTACTTCTTCTTCTTCCAAGCAGCTAAAGCTAGATGTGGTTGGGAATGCCTTTTCAATTTTTTATTAGATTTATCCATTTTATTTTATGTGTGAATGTTTGGCCTGCATGGATGTCTGTGCATTGGTGCCAGTGGAGGGAGGGAGAGAGTGCCAGATCCCCTGGAAGTGGAGTTAGGAATAGTTGTGAACCACCATGTGGGAGCTGGGGATTAAACTCTTGTCCTCTGCAAGAGCAGCCAGTGCCCTTAACCACTGAGCCAGCCTCTAGCCACTGCAGCATGCTCTGAATCCCAGCACTTGAAGACACAGGCAGATAGCTCTCCAAATTCAAGGCCAGCCTAGTCCACAGAGCTAGTTCCAGGCCAGCCAGAGCTACATAGGGAGACCTTATCTCAAAAAGAAAATAAGAGAAGCTGAGGAAGAAAATTTCCACACCCTGTGAGTAATGTACCACAAAAGCAGAAATAGCTATGGTCTATAGCTCTGTGGAAATCTATAGGGAGCCTGTATTCAAAGGAGTACATAATAAACCTTCAAGGTTCTCTCCTTAATACAGGAAGCAGAAGCTGAGCAGTGGTGTCAGGCGGATCTCTGAGTTCAAGGCTAGCCTGGTCTACAGAATGAGTTCCAGGACAGCTAGGACTACACAGAGAAACCCTGTGTTGATTTTAAAAAACATACAGCAGGCAGATAGAAGAGAAGACAAAGTGTTTGGGTGGGTTATTCTTTCATTAACTTAGTAATTACACCTCTCACTTTTATTTAAAAAAGAATACATTGGGGGCTGGAGAGATGGCTCAGAGGTTAAGAGCACTGCTTGCTCTTCCAAAGGTCCTGAGTTCAATTCCCAGCAACCACATGGTGGCTCACAACCATCTGTAATTAGATCTGGTGCCCTCTTCTGGCCTGCAGGCATATGTGCAGACAGAACAATGTATACATAATAAATAAATAAATCTTAAAAAAAAAAAAAAAAAAGAATACATTGGTACTCAGTTTTCTTTATAATGGGGCAATTCCTACTTAAATATATTTGGCCATGTGTTTGAAAATCACTTTTCGGTAGTATTTTGATCTCCCCAGTTCTAAGTTTTATAAGCAGGAACTTCATCTCTTCCCCTGTCTCGGAATTCTAAAAAGAGGGAGGACCCACTACATCCTGACCCCTTTTTTCCTTCCTAGATCCCAGAGAGAGCAGCTGCCAAGTGGAACAGCTACCCAGCTTCTTCCTAAAGGATGTGAGAAGCCAAATGGATTTCATAATAAGAGGTAGGGAATGGAGACCTTTCTGAAAAATACTTCTGCTATCCCAGGATTTTCTTTTTAACCTTAAAAAAAAATGCCTTTTCAGGGCTGTAACAATGGCTAAGCAGTTAAGAGCATGGGCTGCTCCTCTAGGGGACCTGCGTTCGATTCCCAGCACCCACATAGTAGCTCACAACTGTCTGTAATTCCAGTTCCAGGGGATATGTATATGCATGCAGGCAAAATACCCATACACATAAAATAAAATAAACTTTAAAAATGCCCTTTATCCACACTTCTTAGTCCAGATCTCAAATTTACTATTTTAGAGGTATATAGCTCCTCAGGAGAATGTCTGGAAGTGAATTTCTATATTAACTTGTTGCCTAAGTAGGACTGTATCCATCAGGTGGAGGTGAAGAAGAGGAGATGGCACTCAGCCCTCTCTGCATGTAAGAAAACAATCCACGGGCATTTCTTTGTGCTGAGTTACTGCAGTCTCATATTGCAGGAAGAAAAGCAGACCCTGCACAGTTAGTACCACGAACGCAGACGGAGGGGGAGATGAGCCAAAAGAGGGCAGAGTGCGGCCGGCCGTGGAATTTAGCAGGAGTCGTGAATGAAAGCGGGTTATCTACGCACTGTGCAGTTAAGAACCAACTTTGTTTTTCTGCTTAGTTCTTCCAGAAATTCACACAGATGTCAAAGGGGCCCCGTTCATCCAAAATCAGACTATAGCTACCCTGCAGTGCCTTGGCTCTGGGAAGAGAGTGAGAGTCCACCTTGTGTATTCAGAGGGAAGGCCAAAGGTCAAGTACACGCTGAAGAACCTGAGAGTCTGCCATAGGAACAGCAAGGCCTCCCCAAGCTGTCTCCTCCTGCCCACTTCCCAGTTTCAGAATGGATCCCTTCTAACAGGTAAAGTGAGACCAAAGAGCTGAGAGAGGTAGGCTGGCACTAACTTACAGTTGACATCCTTGGTGGCCAGTGTTTATTAGCAGCCAAAGCCACAGTGAAACCTACTGTTCTCCCCTTGGGGAAAATCAGTGTCCTCTCTAATTTCTTTAACAATAATTTTAAATTATATTTATATGTTTACTTGTTTTGTGTGTGTGTGTGTGTGTGTGTGTGTGTGTGTGTGTGTGTGTGTACAACCCCGGGAGTCAGACCAAATAGGTTTTGTGGCAAATACCCTTATCCACTGATCTACTTCCCTGACCCCAGGCCCCACATTTCTAATTTCTAAGACTCCTTTTAGCCCTAGTGTCCTGCGGTATTTATAAGATCTAAAAAGTTTTTAGAGACATGTTCTTACTATATATCCCTGGCTGGCCTAGACTGCTTGTGTAGACCAGGCTAGCTTCAAACTTACATCCATTTGCTTCTGCCTCCTGAGTGCTGGAATTAAATGCCTAGCTGGTCTTCACTTCTGATGGGTGGGTCTTTTTTCTTCTGATTCTTCTCCTGATTCTTCTCCTGATTCTTCTTCTTCTCCTCCTCCTCCTCCTCCTCCTCCTTCTTCTACTTCTCCTCCTCCTTCTCCTCCTCCTCCTCCTTCTCCTTTTCTCCTTCTCCTCCTTCTCCTTCTTCTTTCCTCTTCTTCCTCCTCCCCCTTCTTATGTTTTTGTTTACTTGTTTTCGAGACAGGGTTTCTCTGTGTAACAGCCCTGTCTGTCCTAGAATTCAATTTGTAGACCAGGCTGGCCTCAAACTCACAGAGATATGCCTGCCTCTGCCTCCCAAGTGCCGGATTAAAGGTCTGTGCCACTTTGCTGGTGGGTGTGTCTTTCTTTTAACAATAGTTGTGGGACAGGTGTGGAGCACATGTCTTTAATCCCAGCATTTGGGAGGCAGAGGCAGGAGGATCTCTGTGAGTTTGAGGCCAGGCAGCTCTACATAGTGATTTCCAGGATAGCTAGAACTATATATAACTAAACATAAAATTTAAAAACATCAATATTTTGTGAAGTGTGTTTATTTGTAGTGCACACAGTGAAATATACAAACAGCACATACTTATAGTGAAAAGTAATTCTCCCTCCTACTCCTACTCCTGTTTCTCAGTCGTCCAGTTCTGTCTCTGAGGATAGAAGGAACCACTATTACCTAATGTATTTCCTTCTAAAGACCACACCAATAGGTGGGCATACATCCCCCCTTCAGACAAGGTCTCATACTGCTCAGGATGGCCTATAACTTGCTGTGTATCTAGGACTAGCTTTGAACTCCTGAAACTCCTCCCCCTACTGGAATTATAGGCATGAGACACCATACCCAGCTCATTTGCATATGTGAAAAGTATAAGTAGTACCACACTACGCACCCTCTTCTATACCTTGGCTTTCCTCATGCATGGGTTTGTCCCATGTCCATATCCATAAATTTGACTCCTGTATGGTTGGGTTGTGGAATATTGAATCCAACGCCTTGAACATGCTAAGTACATGTCCTATTTCTGAGCATATTATGTCACCAGCCCTACCTTATTCTTTTTCATGGTATTCTACTAAATTGCAATTTATTTCCCTAGTTCTCCACTGGCGGAATTTTGGTTATTTCCATTCTTTTACTAATACAAACAATGACCTTGGACAGTCCTCTTATGTATCTGCTATCTATCAAGAAAATGAATTCCAAGAAGCAGAACTGCCACACTGGCAGCCAATAGCTGGTGCTCATTTAGCCCCCACATAGGTGGTTCCAATATCCATGCAGTCTCCACTGTGTGGAACTGCTTGTTCCCCAACAGCAGCAGCTCTTGACCCCCACTTCTGCCACCCTTTTCTTCTTTTTAAGTCTCTGTCAAGTAGTTTCTGATCAGTAGATGAGTATATGGCTCCCCCTTTGCAAAAGGCGTACATTTAGACTCTGCTGCTATACTGTTGGGAAATAACACTCAGTGCTTAGAGAGACTGGGAAGTAGAAGGATCACAAGCAGAACAGTGTAGAAATAAACTTTGTCTGTTTGTTTGTTTTTCAAGACAAGGTTTCTGTATACAGCCCTGGCTGTCCTGGAACTCGCTCTGTAGACCAGGCTGGTCTTGAACTCAGAGAGAAGAAATAAACTTTTAAAACATAGACTAGAAATGAAGAAATAAGGGGGCAGACATTCTCTTGGAATACTGCCCAAGAACAGTAAATTATTTATCCTTACATGACTTGAATGTTTCAGTTACTTTATTATAATTTACAAAATTCTACCACTAAAAGCCAGGCACACCTGTAATCCCATTATACAACATATTGATTTTGAAGCCAGCTTGGGCTCTATGAGGTCCTCTTGTGTGTGTGTGTGTGTGTGTGTGTGTGTGTGTGTGTGTGTGTGTGTGAGAGAGAGAGAGAGAGAGAGAGAGAGAGAGAGAGAGAGAGAGAGGAGAATAGAGAGAAATTAACTAGTTAATTAAACTCTACCACTGGGAGGGCCCTTAAAACCCCCAAACCACTCAATATCAATTCATTTGGACCTTGTCCTCTTACCGTGTGACACCCTTGAACTGACCACAGCACTGGCCTTCAGTCACTGTCCGTTCTGCCATTCTCTGAGTGGCACTATACCATGCTATGCACTTTGGGGCTGAGGTAATGAAGGGCATTAGCTGTTAAAAATGTGGAACCAGGAAAATTGAGGGGGTTAAACTGGTGAGAGGAAAGTTGCCAAAGATCAACCTGCCCTATTGAAACTGCTTGCCTTGGGTGACCTCTGGGCTTTGAGCTCTCTCCAAGAGGAAGGGTCTTCCTCCTTCTCCTCGGTGCTTGCTCAAGGCAAGATCCAGAATTCGAGGCAGTACTCTATACAATGTGAGTCATGTAAAGAGACCAAATGGATATTTGTAGGTTAGTTTGGGTCCTCATCACCATTCACCATACATTCAACCTATGTTTCTATGAAACCATGCTAACAAATCCCAAACAACCATCATATAAACGGACTTTTGAAAGGAACTTTCTCTCACAGTCTGAAGATGCTTGTTCTGAATTTAAACCACACTAAATCACCAAGATGTGACAGATCTCAAATAGGTTAGAAATAAAAACTAGGAAAATGGTCAGACTTAGAAGGTCCCAGGAGAGATGCATTCTGAAGTTGCCACTCTGGCCGATGTCAGTCTGCAGAGGAAGGGTCTAAAATACCATCACATGACAATAATGAAAATACCCTCAAAGTAAGTAAGAATGTGGAATTGCAAGGACAAGAACTTTGCACAACACAGTTGGTCTTCACAAGATATGAACCAAACATAAAATGTAGAAAAGAAACATAAAGCAGTGGCTGAGGCTATAGCTCAGTTCACAGAGTGCACGCCTAAGTTGCTTTTCTCACAAAAAACATAAAGGGAACCGGGGCAATCAGTTACAACACAGTCTCTGTTCCTATTGCTCAGATTTTATATTTAGAAGCTTTCCAGTTACCCATCAGGTTTCATAGAGACCTATCTGGGTTTTTGTTTGTTTGTTTGGTTTGGTTTGGTTTTTCAAGACAGGGTTTCCCTGTGTAGTTCTGGTGCCTGTCCTGGAGCTTGCTCTGTAGACCAGGCTGGCTTCGAACTCACAGAGATTCGCCTGCCTCTGCCTCCCAAGTGCTGGGATTAAAGGCATGCGCCACCAATTCTGGGCTGTGTGACTTTTTTTTTTCAAGTGTCATTTTAGTAGATGGATTAGGATCTTTATAATTTGACCAGTGTTAACTGACTCCTAGGGTCTGGTTACCTCATATGAAACTGTGGGTTATGGAAGTCATAAATGGCATCAAACTAGTGTTTATTATGATGTTAACTATCACCTTTGGCAAGTCATGTATTTCCCCAGTGCTCAGCTCCTATAGTTACAACTGGGAGGGCTGACTGGACGGTCTAGTTTTCAGATATACGAGGGTTAGACAGTAGAGAACAAACCCAACAGCAACATGTAAGGACTCCCAAATGGTCCTCCAACCTGTGAGTGTTATTGTATAATAATCTCTAAGAGGCACCTCTATTTATTATTTTTTTGTTTGTTTCAGATGGGATCTCACTACATAGCCTTGGCTGTCCTGGAGCTCACTATGTAGACCAGGCTGCCCTCAAACTCACAGAAGTTGACCAAGAAATGACACTTCTCTTTAAATATGATGTATTTATCCAGACTTGGTGATATATGTCTGCAATCCCAGTACTTGGGAAGCAAAGGCATGAGGACATGGAGTTTGAGGGCAGTCTAGCTACATAGTGAAACAGTAAAATAATAATAATAATAGTAATAATAATAATAATACATAGCTAGTTCAAGTTTAACTTGGGCTACATAACCAGATCCTATCTCAAAATCCAACCAAACAAAAATTTATATTAAATTTATATGAAAATGAATTAAATATATTTAATGTTATTTAAAAATTATTTTGTAGCAGGGCGGTGGTGGCGCATGCCTTTAATCCCAGCACTTGGGAGGCAGAGTCAGGCAGATCTCTGTGAGTTCGAGGCCAGCCTGGTCCACAAAGCGAGTTCCAGGAAAGGCACAAAGCTACACAGAGAAACCCTGTCTCAAAAAACCAATATATATAAAAACAAAGCATCTTTTAGAACTATGAATTATTATTGTCTTTAAAATTTTCATAAAGTTGGATTTTTAAAAACAAAACTCCTTAAATTGGGGTATTTCTATGCTAATTAAAAAAAACAAAGTCTTACTATGCAGGACTTACTTGCCTAGAATTCTGTATATAGGCCAGCAGAGTGGCCTTGAACTCATGATTCTCTTCTAGAACACTGAGATTAAAGGTGAGTACCACCATGTTCAGCAAACTGGGATGTTCTTGTGGGTTGTTTTTGAGGCGGGATCTCATTCTGTAACCCTAGGTAGCATGGAACTTCCAAGTAAACCAGGCTGATCTCAACTTTCATTGACCTTCCTGCCTCTGCCTTCCTGATGCTGGAGTTAGAGGTATGTGCCAGCATGCCTGCCTTAAAATGGGGCATTCTTGTTCAAATAACTTTAGCTAGAGAAAAACTAATGGTGCAATTCAATCATCAATGGAAATAAAGTGATTTTTTCTTTCTTTTTTGAAGCAGGGTTGTTCTCTGTATAGCCCAGGCTGTCCTAGAACTCACTCTGTATTGCCTTGAACGCAGAGATTCGCCTGCTTCTGCCTCCCAAATGCTGGGATTAAAGGTGTGTACCACCACCACTCAGTGGAAATAAAATATATTTTCACACCTGTTCTACCTTGATGCTCAGTTACTTCAGAGATAAGACCCAAAAGAGATGAGCTGCCAACAGGGATGGCCATTAACTCAGAGGACTGAAAGTAGACTGTCAGATGAAGCCTATTCAGTAGACGCTGAAGTCACATTTCTCAGCAGGTGGGAATACAGGCCATATGTCTCTACGCCGTTATCTCTCTGGCTACCAGAGTTGTTCTGCTTAGGGAGACAATCTCTAGGCTTTCTCTTATCTTTCAATCCTAGTTCGCTCAGCTGCTTGCAACGTGTTTTCACACCTGCTTTCTCATTTTTATTTGTTTCTGACCTTTACAGCACCTCTGAGAACTAGTTACAGCAATTATTTTTTATTGTAACCATATTACAAACTGGGAAACCAAAACTCGGAAATCATGTAACTTGTCCAAAGTGAGTTTTGCTTATCTTCAAACGTGCATGTTACCACTTAAGAGAACTGACTGGGGGCGCTGGAGAGATGGCTCAGAGGTTAAGAGCACTGACTGCTCTTCCAGAGGTCCTGAGTTCAATTCCCAGCAACCACATAGTGGTTCGCAACCATCTGTAACAAGATCTGATGCCCTCTTCTGGCCTGCAGTCATACATGCTATATATATAATAAATAAATAAATCTTTAAAAAAAAAAGAGAGAGAGAACTGACTGGGGCCAGGCATGGGGACCACCACTGTCTCCCAGTTAAAGTGCAGTCAGGGACCTCTGGTTCTCCTGTCATTTGCTGTATGACGACTGGTATTGAAAGCTGCCCAAGTCTGACTGCTGCCCTCCATACAACTGTTAAAAGTGTCATTCGACTGTTTTACTTGCTGTGTTGTTCAATACCTCTGGTGATTGACAACAACAACACATGGCAATTTAAAAGGATTTAAGACGTGTAAGACTAATGTGGAGCCAGGCAGTGGTGGTGCACATCTTTAATCCCAGCGCTTAGGAGGCAGAGGCAGGAGGACCTCTGTGAGTTCAAGAGATTCTCTGTGAGGCCAGCCTGGTCTACAGAGTGAGTTCCAGGACAGCCAGGGCTACAAAGAGAAACCTTGTCCTGAAAAACAAAACAAAACAAAACAAAAAGAGCACTTTAGAAAAGCTAAAGAAAAGTAATGATGGGGTTGGGGATTTAGCTCAGTGGTAGAGCGCTTGCCTAGCAAGCACAAGGCCCTGGGTTTGGTCCTCAGCTCTGGAAAAAAAAAAAAAAAGAAAAGAAAAGTAATGATAAGAAACCATGCAAACTGGAACAGGGGCCCACAAGACGGCTCCCGGGGTGAAGGTGCTTGCTGCCCAATGATCCAAGCCTGACTACCTAAGTTTGAGCCCTAGCACCCAAATAAACATAGGAGAACCACCCTCACAAAGTTGTCCTCTGACCTCCACATGGAACCCTTGGCATGCACCATCTCCCAGTAAATAATACCACTGCAAATGGAATAGAAGACCAGGTTTGGTGGCACACCCATAACCTCAGTAGTTGGGAAGGCAGGAGTCTCACTTCATGCTTGAGGCCAGTCTGGCTATGAAGTGAAGTTGATGCTAGTATGGGCTACATGGTCATATCCTGTCTTTTAAGTAAAAAGGGGTGAGGGTTTGGAGAGGAAGAGCCACCACCGTCTGAACGGGGTTAGGCCCATTCTGTAAGCAGGTGGAATTGTGTGCAGACACAGCCAGAATTCAGCTGCTCTTCCTCACTTCTATCCCTAGCTGGATCCCGTCTTACCTGTTGTCTCCAAAATCTGCTACCACCACCACCAGGTCATGCTGCCTCTACCCCTGCCCCACAAGGGTCCATTTCTGACACAGCGGTCCAGTGAGTAGTCAATTAAAATGAAGCTTAGCTGGCCATGGTGACTCACACTTGTAATCCTAGCACTTAAGAAGCTGAAGTAGCGGGGCGGTGGTGGCGCACACCTTTAATCCCAGCACTTGGGAGGCCGAGGTAGGAGGATCTCTGTGAGTTCAAGGGCAGCTGGTCTACAGAGCTAGGTCTAAGACAGCTAGGGCTATTACACAGAGAAACCCTGTCTAGAAAAACCAAAACAAACAAACAAATAGGAGAAGAAGAAGCTGAAGCAGGAATGCTGTGAGTTGGAGGCCAGGCTGGGCTACAGAATGAGACCCTGTCTCAAAAAACAAAAACAAGACAAAACAAACTAAAAAACCCCTCCCCACAAAAAGGTCACTCTTGATCAAAACCTTGCAACAGATCCTTATTTCCAAAGCCCTGAACTTGGCACACGGAGCCGAGAACCCCTATATCCTCTCAACCCTCATCTCCTCCCTTGCTCCTCCATGCTGGCTACTGGCTGCCTCACTGCCTCCCTACATCTGTAATCTGTCAGGCACACTCTGCCTCGGGGCTCTATTCCCACTGTCCCCCTCCACCCACATTACTTCCCTCAAGTCTTGGCTCAGTTCTACTCTCCGGGAGGCTTGGCCTACACTGCAGGCTGCCCAACTATTACCTATGAATACTACTCAAACTACTTTATCTTGCAGGGATTTTTTTGTTTTTTTTGTTTGTTGGTTTGGTTTGCCATTGTTGTTTGTTTGCTTTTGGTTTTTTGAGACAGGGTCTCTCTGTGTAACCTTGGCTGTCCTGGAACTCACTCTGTAGGCCAGGCTGGCCTCAAACTCACAGAAATCTTCCTGCTTCTGCCTCCCCAGTGCTGGGATCAAAGGTGTGCGCCACCTGTTTTGGTTTTTTTGAGACAGGGTTTCTCTGTGTAGCCCTGGCTGTCCTGGCACTTGCTCTATCGACCAGGCTGGCCTCAAACTCAGAGATCTGCCTCTATTGGGATTAAAGGCATACACCACCACCAACTGGCTGGTTTGGGTTTTTAAAGATTTATTTTTTAAATTATGTGTGTCTACCTACATGTATGTATGTGTATCACATGTATATGGATGCCAACACAGGCTAGAAGAGAGCACTGGATCCCCTAGAACTGAAGTTATAGGCACTTGTGGGCGGCCTGATGCGGTGTTGGGAACCAAACCCAGGTCTTCTGCAAAAGCAGCAAGTGCCATCTTAACCACCAAGCCATCTCTCCCGTGCCTGATTCTGTAGCTCAGACTGGCTAGGAACTCACAAGGATGGCTTTTAATTCCTGGTAATGCTCCAACTCAGTCTCACCAGTGCTGGGATTACAGGGATGAGCTACCATGACTGTCTTCTTGTTCTAGATAGATCGACTGATTGATGTTTTTGGGAGAGAGTCTCTCTGTGTGGCCCTGGCTGTTCTGGAACTTACTATGTAGACCAGGCTGGCCTCTGCCTCCCAAGTGCTGGGATCAAAGACATGCGCCACTATGCCCAGCTCTAGTTTTAAGTTTTTAAGTAGCACTTATCCTAATATATAATAACAATTTTTTGTTTGTTTTTGAGGCAGGGTCCTGCTATTTAACCGTGGCTGGCTTGGTACTCACTATGTAGCCCATGTGGGCCTTAAAATCAAGGTTATCCTCCTGCCTTAGTCTCCTGAGTGCTGGAACTATAGGCAGGTGTCACTACACCCAGCCATAAAATATATGATAGTCATTGTTGTCTCTGCTTCCTCTGCCCTGACCCCTGACCTGTTTGTTTGTTCTCTTGTTGTTATGAATCCAACTGATAGAAAATACTGAAGCATTTCTGGCACATAGTAGACTCTGGTTTTTTAACATTAAATGAATGAAACTGAGGAGAATGTGAAGCTGGGTGCCGGTCCCTCTCCTAGCTGCTCTTGCTTTCCTCACTGCCTTCTCAGAGTGGTTGACTGGACCCCACTAGCAGATCTGCCGCAGCCATTCAGCAGATGCATTTCCTGTTCTTTCCTGGACTTTGGAACCACCTCTATTAATGAAGGAAACTCTCAACAGTGTTACACCCTCCACCTTTATTATTATGATGACCTCAAGAATGATAGGCAAGCACGATATGGCTCATTCCTTCCCCCTGATTATAGTCAAAGGACGCCTGGGGATTTAATCCACATCTCTTCTTAGTGCCTCTGGCCTCATTTATTCTTGGCATCATTCTGTGCCTACACCTAAAACCTATGAACATACAGGTCAATGGGGCCACAGGTAGAGATGTAGTATGAAGGGAGCAGAGCTGGAGTTTTGTGAGGTAAAACCAAAGCAGGATGATGCTGCCCTACAGACGTCCATCTGCTGCTTCCATTTTGTTTTACAGCTTTCTTACCGGGGATCTATCGGTGCAAGGTCTACCCAGCAAAGGGTAGATCTGCTTCATCAGAGACGGTGCCCATCACTACCACCTCCACAGCTGCTAGAAGGAAAAGAGAGAAAACTACAAGCACTGGGGACTTTTCCAGCCCTTTGTCACAAGGTACAAATCAAGTAGAGGTGGCAAAGCAAGACCAGGAAGAAAGGGAGACATTTTAGCTCCAATATTACTTAGGTCTCCTAGGACTTTCTTGGAGGTGGATAAGTTTATATTTAAAAATTTATATTAAAAATTATTCCATGTTTTAATAGGGGAAAAAAGGTTCTCCATAAGGAAGTTCCCAGAAACATCTGTAGTTTGGCATAGTCAATAATCCTTTCCTTTGGGGGTGGAGAGATGGCTCGGTGGTTAAGCACCATCTTGCAGATACCTTGTAGAGGACCCAGCTTCAGATCTCAGCACCAACATCAGGTATCTTACACAACCACCTGTCATTCTAGTTCCAAAGGATCTGATGCTCGCTGGTCCCTGAGGGTACCCACATGCACACAGTGCACATCGAGTCACACGGGCACAGACATAAATCAAATAGTAAGTCTTTTCTTTAAAATGGTAATCCCTTGCCTCCATGAAAGTGAATTCACTCTGTAGCCAGATTGGAAACGGACTAAATCCAACTGGTACATGATGCCAGCCACTTGCATGTATAGATGTATATTTAAGTACCAATCAATTATTAACAGAGATGACACCAACCAACCACGTGTTTTCCTTTTCACTGTTTTTGAAAATAGCCCTCACTAAATTGGCCAAGACTCAAGTTCTATAAGAGTCGAGTTTGGATTACATCCCAGGTTCATACCAGTGGAAAAGTAAATATGAGATCAGTAACAACATAATAGGTATGAGCCTTCTGCCCTGGATTTGACTTATGATTCAAAAGCAATGACAATTCACCTTTGTTCTTCCCATACTTTCCTAATACCAAAAAGCTAGTTTTTGTTTGTTTCTTTTTGAGACAGGGTCTTGCTATGTAGCCCTGGCTAGCCTGGAACTCATTAACTAGATCAGGCTGGCCTTGGGTTTAGAGACTTGCCTGCCTCTGCCTCCTGAGTGCTAGGATGACAGGTGTGTGCCACCAGGTCTGAAATAAAGGTGATTGCTCTGTGCTTGTTTGTAGTTGGTTCGCTTTATTCAGTGCCCGAGATGGAAGGAGACGGGATTTTGGGTTTTAAGGTTGGGAACTTCAAGCGGACTGACTGGGAACAAAGGGTTAAGCACTCCTTGTGCACCCAAGCCTTTGCCTCTCAAGAACAGTGCTAGAGTCAGCCTGCAGGACTCTGGAGAATCCAAACTCTTGGAAGGTGGCTCATTCATAAGAGAGGCTAGTGAAGAGGCCATGCTGCCACCCCGCCTGACTCTGAGCCCCAGGTGGAAATCCAGGCTCTGTCTCTGAGTTAGGTGTCCCTGGTTAGTCGGAGCGAGGAGAACTTGCGGTCAAGGTGAGCCTTGCTCATGGTCTCTTTTCTTCCCCTCCCTCCCTCTTTCCTTTCAGACACAGATGCGTCCTTAAAGGAGAGGCAGAAATGGAGTACTGTCACCAAAGCTCTGATTGCTGCTACTCTGCTGCTCAGTGGAGTCTTCATTATAGTGTTTGTAATCTTTGAAGTCCCATTTCCATGCCCAGTAAGTTTGCTGATGTATACTTATGAACTGGGTCCCGGGCTTGATCAATAAAGACTGCTTTCTGTTGGAAAGGCAGCAGAACATAAGGAAAGCAAACACTAGCTGAGTGGCTGGTGAAAAGTCGCTTGACTTCTCCGTTCTACAGCTGCCATATCTGTAAACAGGACTCCTCATTATTGCCTTGCTTGCCAGCTGTGGAAGTTAACGGGGATCCTGTTTGAAAGGCACCTGGTACATCAAAGGTGCTCTCTCTCTTTTTTTTTTTTTAATATTTATTTATTCTTATTTTATGTATATTGATATTTTGCCTGTGTGAAGGTGTCAGATCTTGGAGTTACAGACAGTTGTGAGCTGCCATGTGGGTGCTGGGGATTGAACCTGGGTCCTCTGGAAGAGCAGTCAGTGCTCTTAACCACTGAGCCATCTCTCCAGCCCTCAAAGGTGCTCTCTTAATGTGAGCTCCTTTCCCCCACTCTCTAGACAGTGGAGTTCTAGTGTTTCCTTACAGATGAGCATTTTTTCTAGAACCCTAGCACTTGGAAGGTGGGGAGCCGACCGGGAATTCCAGGCTGGCCTCGCCTGTATTGCAAAATTGAGGCCAGCCAGGTTATATGAGAGATAGAGGGTGAAAGGGGGGAGTGTAAGATAATAAAGTATTATTTCTTTTAAATGGCTTGGCATGAGGTTTGGAAGATAATCAAATGTGTATCAGCCACTGAGGATAAAAAGATCCACTTTGTTTTGTTTTGTTTTGTTTTTCAGAGTCCCTGCCTCAGAGTCAGAAGACTATGCCAATGGCAATGGTTATGGAGAAGGGAAAGGAAGGAAGACCAGCAACCTAGGACAACTGAGTCCCTGTTGGAATCTCAGCCTGAGAAGGGGAGTATTCTCTGCATCATTTATGCCATTTGTTTAGACAAAACAATGGTAGCCTCGAAGTGGTGAGATGTAGTTAACTGCTTCAGTTATAAGGTGCTATGAATTACTGTGCAGGGGGACCCCCGAGAGTGTCCCGGATGTGCAGGGGGACCTCGGAGGGTATCCGACGTGTGCAGGGAAACATGCTGGGCATGCCATGTGGGCATGGCAGTGGCAGAAGCAGCCAGTAATTCACAACCCAGATGATGAATCCACGTGCAGAGTTTATTATAATAGAGAAATGAAGAGAAAGATGGGAAAGACAGAGCCAGAAAGAGAAAGAGGTAGAGGGCGCGCACCTCATGGGAAGAAAAGCGGAAGAGAGGAACAGGAGGATTTTGCCTTAGAATACGGCTTTTAGCTGTCCAGTGGTGGCGCACGCCTTTAATCCCAACACTGGGGAGGCAGAGCCAGGTGGATATCTGTGAGTTCCAAGCCAGCCTGGGCTACAGAGTTAGTTCCAGGAAAGGTGCAAAGCTACACAGAAAAACCCTGTCTTGAAAAAACAAGAGAGAGAGAGAGAGAGAGAGAGAGAGAGAGAGAGAGAGAGAGAGAGAGAGAATAAAGCTTTTACATCAGGACGCAGGACGGTGCCAAGGGGTGGGATTTCAAGGGGCGCATCAGAATATTAACATAAAGCAAATGTGATAAATTATTCCGTGTCAAAAAACTGCCCAGATATGGTGGCACACACCTTTAATCCCAACACTCAGGAGGCAGAGGCAGAGGCAGGCAGATCTCTATGAGTTCAGGCTAGCCTGGTATACACAGTGAATTCCAGGCTATCCAAAAACCAAACAGGCAAACAAACAAAACAAAGCAAAAACCGCATTGTTATTTGGCGGAGTTTGGTAATCTACACCTACACTGCTATCACGATGGAGGCAGAGGAGGAGTCAACAGTTGAAGGGCAGCCTCAGCTTCGGCTAGATAGGACATCTGAGGCCACCCTGGGCTACGGGAGATACCATCTAAACAAAACCAAAAACAAGCAAATAAGAAGAAAGAGAGACAGAGACGTGGGGGTGGAGGAGGAACTTGGGGAGAGAGGAAATATGTATTTCTAGGACCCAGATATACTGAATCAGAATGTCTAGAGTAGGACCAGAGATCTTTATTATCATTATTATTACTCAGATGGGTTCTTACTATGTTGCCCAGACTAACCTTAAATTTTCTACCTCAAGTCATCCTTCTGTCTCAGCTTTCCAAGAAGCTTGGACTATATATAGGCTTATGTTAATGTCATGCTCATCTTATTCTTAATTTTTTTTAATAAGTTCCCTTAGGAGGCTGGAGAGATGGCTCAGAAGTTAAGAGCAGTTCTTGGCACCCACACAGGGTGCTCACAACTACATTGTAGCTTCAGTTCCATGGGTTACAATACCCTCTTCTGGCCTCCTTGGTTACACATATGATGTACATACAAACAGCCACCTAAACGTAAAAATAAATTTAAAAACAAGCTTTATAAGCAGAGGTGGATTTATTGTGAAATTACTAATATTTCAGGTCCCATAGACCTTGACCAAGGTTTGTATCTAATGTAAGGTTTATAGTTCTTGTTTTGTTGTTATTGTTTGTTTTTGTTTTTTTCTGACAGGGTTTCTCTGTGTAGCCCTAGCTGTCCTGGAACTCACTTTGTAGACCAGACTGGCCTGGAACTCAGAGATCTACCTGCCTCGGCCTCCTGAGTGCTGGGATTAAAGGTGTGGGCTATCACCACCTGCCCTTTTTTTAGGAAGGTTCCTCCCAATCGTAAGATCTTTAGCATTATAACATGTGTTCACCCTGGTAACTCTCAAATACAGCAACCTTTAGGATCTGCTGCACTGCGCCCTGTTTAAAGACCTGGCAAAGCAACTTTCTTTTTCCTTACCTTTGCGTTTCTGACAAGATTATAAACAGTGCCTTTTGGTGTCTGAGCCGTCACTACAGGGCTGATTCACCAGACTGCTTTTAATCCAGACTCCAAGCCAGGTTAGACTCTGCTTCGGGATAGTAGAAAGTAACATATGAGCTTTCCCTAAGACATCCAGTCACTCACTAAGGTAAGCAGACAAGGTTTCCACTGGACCTAGTTCAAAGCCTCAGTTGGGCACTACAGTAAGATTGTCTCAAAAACAAACAAAAGACCCCATCAAACAAACAGCCACTCACCATGCACTATGAGGTGTCCATTTTTGTAGAATTATAGCATTGAGAATTTGTCTCAAAGATGATGTAGTAAAAGGGTTTGATCCCCCAGCACCACACACACACACACACACACACACACACACAATTTTACACAATTACCTCTTTTTCTGTTCCTCCCAAAGCTCTGGGAGAAAGACAGGACTAGACTCTACAAGTTACATATGTTGAATTTGAAACTTGGAGAGGATGTGTGATTCTCCCAAGGTCATTCAGAGGAAGCAGAACTAGAATCTATATCTTTTACTTGCTATACTGACATTTATACTTATTGATCATTATCTATTCCATACAATTTTACTGAAAACCTATGTGCCAAGCCTTACTTTGGGAAGAAAAATCAAGCTTTCCCCTGAAAATACCTTGTAGAACTAGGCATTGTGGCACAAACCTGTATTCCCAGCACTTTGGATGTAGAAGCAGGAGGGTCAAGAATTGAAGGCCAGCCTAGGCTACGTGAGGCCTTGTCTCAAAAATAAATGAGGCAAAACAAAACAAAAGTTAGACATGGCAGTACCTGCCTGAAATCCAGCACTTAAAGGCTAAGGCTGGAGGCTAAGGCAAGAGGACTGACACATATTCAAGGCCAGCCTGGGCTATAAAGCAAATGTTAAGAAGCCAAGTTTCCATAGTGAGATCCCATCTAAAAGGGGTGGGGTTGCCAGAGAGATGGCTCAGTGGTTAGGAGTACTTGTTGCTCTTCCAAAGGAACTGGATTTGATACTTAGCACACACATGGTAGCCCACAACTGTAACTCCAGTTCCAAGGGTTCCAACACCCTCTTCTGGCCTCTTCAGGCATGAGGCACACACATGGTGCACATACACACATGCAAGCAAAATACCTATAAACATATAAATGAAACAAAACTGTGTTATGTTCATAGTAGCTGGGAATTCAGAAAATGCATACAAAATTTGATAGGAAATGAACTCAAACACACTAAGGGTGGAGCAGGGATATTTAAAATATTTAAGCCAGGTGTGTACCACACTCTGCATGGCTTCAAGGATTGGCCTAAATGGGTGATAAGGGAATGAAAAAAGGACAGACACACAGACACTTGTACAGAAAGACTGGGATCAGCTGTGCTCTGCTCACTCTGATGGAGAGCAGCAACTGCTGCCCAGAACCTCTGATGATTTATTTTATACACCGAATGAAGGAGGCGGGTTCATTATATACAGTCAAATAAAGAGTTGGGTTCATGGTCTACAACTGAACAAGGAGGCAGGTTTAGCTCATCTCAGTAGGAGGTCTCTGGAGGGGAGCAGACCCAGGCTGCAGTGATCCAGGAGGGTGAAGCTGTGGTTTCTACTTGTTGCACATACTGGGCAATCATTTGTAAACACTGGTACTTGGACCAGAGGAAGGCTTTGCCATTTCTCTAAGCCCCACCAAGGAAGGCTTCCCACTCCCATGGTTCTGAGGCACTGGGGTCCTCGACATGGCTGTGCCCGTCAACAATAAACATTCACTGGGGACTTTGTCCACTCCTACAGGTGCGGTGGCACACACCTAGATTCCCAGCACTTGGGCAATGGAGGCAGGAGGAGCAGAGTTCAAGGCCTTCTCCACTACACAGTGAGGCAGCTTGATAGACAAGAGACCTTGTTTCAAAAATAAATATTCAGTCAGACCCTAAAATCTCTTTCTAAATCACTGCCTCTTCAAAATATAATGAGATTCTTTTAGTTTGATTCAAGGAATGAAGTGGAATTCCTGTGCATATGGTATCCAAAGTAGCTGCACACTCAGGGCCTTTTCCATTCCAGAAAACCTGGTCAAGACAAGGGCAATGCGCACTCTGCTACTGGTTTATAGGTTCTTGGCTCATGAGCATGGTGTTCATGTATCCTCAGAACAACTGTTAGGCATCAAAGATGCATACTCAGGTGTACTTGATTTAACTGAGACTTTCTCCTCAGCGACCCCTTGCTGATTCAGTTCATTTGCACACTTATTCACCTTTCACATGTCCTTTCCATCTCTAGGTTGGACAAGATGTTCCTAACTCTTCAGACTCAAAGAAAACTACAGGGATCACTATAATCCACCAGACATACTTATGAGTTCTGCTTAGCCTCACTCTGATGGCAAGTGCTGTATTCTATACCACTGTCTCCTTACTGCAAATCACTACAGGATAACTCTTGAAGTCCTTACACTCATATCTTCATGTGGACATTATAATCAAATTATATGCCAGGACAGTGAAGGAAGATCCTGGGTTGACGGAGCCACACTCATGCCAGGGCAGCTGGCATAGACATAAGCCTCTGTGATTCACTTTGTACATCCTCAAAAATGGGTTATCTTTCCATCTCAGCAAATGAAGATGAAGTCCCTGCCTCCGAGTGTTATGTATGGACCTTACTGCCTTCTCTGATGAAAGACAAAACACTGCCTCCAAAGAGCTGGACCTCACTGTGTGGCCCACATTCCAACTCCTCTGTTGCTCTCCCAGCTTTCTCATGCTCACTGGCTGTCAACTAGCTTACAGGGAGCATCTGTTCTCCCAGGCTTATGACTTAATGATTTAGCCTCTGTCACTACACATAGTTATCAACAACCTGGCAAAGGGAACCCAGCCTTAAGCATCCCCAAAGCCCTTCTAATAAGTCATTCCTGAAGGGTTTCAAGACAGAATATATTCAGCAGAAATAGCATTGAAATGAAATTGGAAAATTCAGAATTCCTAAAGGAGATCTGGTATCATGCTTTTTTTTTTCTTTTCTGATACTGTGATTCGGACCAAGGTCCTCACACTGCAAGTGCTGTGTCACTGAGATATATACTAATCCCTTTCTGTAACTTTTATTTTGAGGTAGATTCTCACCAGGTTATCCAGAACCTGGAACTCCTTGTGTGGCCTTGAACTTTGAACTCTCTTGCTTCAACCTCCAAAAGGAGCTAGCAATACAAGTGTGAACCACCAGGCCTGGCTATGCCTTATTTAATTTTCAATTTTTTTAAAGACAGGTTTTTATGTATGTAGCCCAGGCTGTCCTACAACTTGCTGTGTAGCTGTGACTCACCTTGACCTTCCTTCCTCTACCTCCTGGCTAGGCATTATTTTATCAATGAGCTGCCTATGTTTTTTATTAGGACTCCAGAACAAAATGATTGTGATAATGATCCCACTCACAGGGGCACAGCTGTGAGCAGAGTCTGATCTGCTTAAATAAGATTTCAGTGAGAAAGAAGAACTAGGCATGGAAGCATCTGACGTAGAGAATGGTGTTGTCCTGCTTTTTCCAAGAGTGTGAAGCCATTCCAACTGCTGAATGTTCCACATTCCTCATGTACATATTATTCCAGATGTAAATATATATTACATTAAGCCCAGGCTAGTGTTGACTTCATACATATCCCAGGATGACCTTCAGCTCATGATCCTCCTGTCTCCCCCTTCCCATGCACTGGAATCACAGGTGTGGGTCACCAGGCCTGGGAAGTAATTCTGTCTTCTTAGTTCTCTAGAATAAACCATACACAAAGTCTAACCTTCTTCCTTTCACGTTAAGTACTGTTCCCACCAGGATTCTTGAAAGTGCGCTAAGCAGGGGATGAGCTGAGCCAGGAGGAAAGGACAGACACAAAACAATGTGATTCAAAGTTTCCAGGAAGAGCTGAAGAACATCTCAAGTTCCACAGAACACACTTTCAGCACACAGCGGACAGGGGACAAAGGACTGTGTGGTGTTAGACGTGAGAGTGGAACATCTGCACCCTACTAGTGACTCAAAGCATCACCTCAAGTTTATCCATACACCTGTTACTTTGCTTGACCATATACTTGAGCAAAACAACAACAACAACAACAAAAAAAAAACCTGTTCTTTCCCAGGTCTAGTAGGGGAGGTTATTAAAAAGATTCTATTTGATTCTAGGATTAATGCCAGCATCCACCGCTGCCTTCATCCACAACAGAATGTCCCATAACCCGGAAACAGATTTCCTAGAAGATGAAAGCCATGGCTGAGTCTGTGATCATCAGTTCTGCTCATCTTCAAAAGTGAAATTGGGGTAACATCTGTACTGGCTTTCTTCACGGAAACTGACATAGTCAGAATTAAGGATTTTGTCTAGAGACAGTTGTTTCCCTGGCAAAAGTACGAATTTTCTATTTCCCCACTCCCTAATCAGTCCACAGCCTTGAATGTGGACTTCAGTGGACTTCAGTCGGCAGATTGCTCCAGAGTCAGACACAAATGCTCAGGTCATCGCTCTGGATGACACTCTTATTATAAAACACTTCAATGAAACTGCCAATGAGTCTTCCGCCAAGTGCCAAGTTTCTGCTGCAAATTCTTTCTCATTAAAGTATCATATTTGGTTTTCCTGATTACTAAAGTGTGTTTTCATTTTCATTATCAAAATTTATATCAAACAATGGAAAAGGTAAAGGAATATAAGAATAAAAGTTATATTTAATCCCCCACAGGTAATGAATAACACTGAAACTTCTTTTATAGTCATAATAAATATATGTGCATGTGATAAGAGATATATATTGCATAGCATAACACTGTCCATACTCATTTTAACATGCTCTTTTTTTCCACTACTACATTACTGTCATATTTCCTATTGGCACATTAATTTCCTTGTGTTTACTTTCAGTTTTAAAGGGAACTAGAACTCTTTCCTTTTGAAGGATCTGTATGACCCTGCTACCTTTTGTTTTGCTGGACAAGGTCTCATGGAGCCCAGCTAGCCCTGAGTTCACAGTGTAGCTAAGGATGATCTGAGCTCCTGACTTTTCTCTCTCTAGCTCCTAAGACTAGGATTATAAGTGTGTACCACCCTACCTGGCTAATATTCCAGTACAGTACTTTTTTGTCCTCTCTTTCACTCTGTAGCCCAGGCTGGTCTGAACTTACTATGGCTAGACTGTCATGCTCCTCTTGCCTCAGTTTCCCAAGGGCTGAGACGGCAGGAGTGGGCCACCTGCTCAGCTTCCCAGTACTTTTGGAGAGGTCCAAAGGTGCAAACAAGACAAGTTCACAAAAACCTCCACTTTGAACTTTTGAAGCTATTGCTTAATGACTGAGTAAACAGCGATATTTGTGGGGTGTTAAAAGGATTACTTGGAAGCCAGGCACAATGGGTCATACTATAATCCTAGCACTCAGACCGCTAAGGCAGGAAGACTGCCATGAATTCCTCTAGGCCACCCATGGACTACATAGTGAGTTCTCTATCAGCCTTGGCCACAGAGTGAGACCCTGTCTCAAAAAAAAAAAAAATTACTTTAAGAGAGAGTAATGGAATATAAATAGCCAAAAGCAGAAATGGGGACTACTTTGAAGAAGAGAGAGGTCAGTGGGGTAAAAGAAGATTCAAGTATGATGCCTACATATGAAAATATCATAATGAAACCCATTTTTTGTATGCTAAGCAGAACAATAGAAAATAAAAAAGGCTACTAGGAAAGTTTCCCCCTAAAAACGCATTATTTATTAAATAATATAAATATAAACATATGAAGGGCTAGGGAGATTGCTACTCTTCCAGATGAACTGAGTTTGGGTCCTAGCACCCATACCATCTGGAACTCTAGTTCCAAGGGACCTAACTCCCTCTTCTGGCTTCCACAGGTATATGCACACATGTGGCATTTACTCACAAAGACCCCTGCCCCATGCACATACACATAAATTAACAAAAATAAATATAAGAAATATTAATACTTAAAATATACATCAATTACACACACACACACATATACATTTTGCCATTTCTCCAATTTTAGAGTTATTTAATGTGCACATGTCTTCAAGCATGCATATGCACCATGTGTATACCTAGTGCCTGTGGTGGTGAACTGACATGGGGAGCTGGGAACTGGAACTCTGTAAGAGCAACAAGTGCTCTTTGCTACTGAGCATCTTGCCAGTCCCCACTTGTTTGTTTGTTTGTTTATTTAGCTATAACTGTGACCAAATCAAAACTGACCAAGCTGGCTGTGGTGGCACATGCTTGTAATCCCCTTACTTAGGCAACTGAAGTAGGAGACTTGCCACGAGTTTGAAGCCAATCTGGGCCACATAATGAGCTCAAGAATAGCCTGTGCTACAAAGAGAGAAAAAAACAAAATATCAAACTGACATGGGACTCTCCATATCTGAAACTTCTGAGCAAGCATTAGCGTTCTTCCTCTCCTTCACCCTGAAGCTATGCAGAGGTGGGCTTAGGAGCAACAGCAGCCCTAACTGCTCTCTACCCCCACTTCTGACTTTGGATGCTCTTTAAACACTACCCAGTAGATTCTGATCCAAAGTGTTTCCCCAGCGTTTATATTCAGCTATTTTCCAAGAAGAGTCACTTATGACAAGGAGCCACAAACCCTTTATATATTGACATAATTTGCCTAGGACAGGTTAAGAGTCTCTGCTCCCCTTCTCTTCCCACTCTCAGTATTTCATTCCTGGGTTCACACAATGGCCCTCATAATGTCTTGAGGACTTGCTATTTCTCCTATCAAGTGTACTTCCTGGTTCTTGTCCTTGAAGTCTGTAATCCCCGTATGAATTTGTGTATTTTTTTTTTTTTTGAGACAGGGTTTCTCTGTGTACTGGAACTCTGCTGTCCTGGAACTCTCTTCGTAGACCAGGATGTCCTTGAACTTAGAGATCCACCTGCCTCTGCTTCCCAAGTACTGAGATTAAAGGCGTGCACCACCCCCACACCCCTAGAATTGTGTATTTTTTTTTCTAATGGTTTTTCAAGACATTTTCTGTATAGCCTTGGATGTCTTGGAACTTGCTCTGTAGACCAGGCTGGCCTTGAACTCACAGAGGCCTGCCTGCCTCTGCCTTCCAAGTGCTGAGATTAAAAGCATAAGCTAACACCATTGTGTATCTTTACATTGCTTTGTATTAATAAAGCATCACATTTGTAGTAAACACTCAAATTACGTGTTGATGTCTCATCACTGAACAGATGGTTACGGGAGGTAAAACTCAGTGTTTGTTTTTGTTTTTTTTCCCAGTAAAAGAGATGGCTCCCAGGGCCTTGTATGGACCACACAAGTGCTATATACCACTGCTCCACACCTCCACCCTTTTTGTTTTTACTTTCTGAGACAATGTCTAAATTGCCCAGGCTGGCTCTGAACTTGTGACCTCACTGGACTCCTCTTGGATATCCTGTGTTCTGTGTCGTGGAGATCCTGCAGCCTTGGATCTGCTGGTCCAGCCCCTTCACATACTTCAGTAGATCATAGACGGGGTGGATGTTGGGGTGGGCCAACTCATGGCCCTGGTTCTGGCCTGGGCAGTTGCAGCATTGCGCAGCCCGCCAGCTCTGCCCTGACCTCACCACCAGGGTGAGCTCTCCAGCATTGCCCTGGCTAGTTCACTCCTTGTAGCAATGAGCAAGGGGCGGGGCCAGTACTTGCCTTCATGCCCTCAGGGTCAGCTCACCCACACCTACACCATCAGGGCCAGGTCCACTGTGTTGCCAAGGTGAGGTGCAGGGGCCACTCTTCTGACTGCTGCAGCTGGTGAAGGGCAGGGACAGCTGTCCCTCTCTTATCAGGGCATCTTCCCCTACAATCACCTTATCACAGACAAGAGGCGGGGCCAGATCTCCCACAATCACTTTCTCCAGCCAGTTCACCTGCATCCCATCAACAGGGTTATTTCTACTGTGCTGCCCAGGCCAGGTGCAGGGCCCCCTTTCCCATGTGCTGCAGATAGTAAGGGGGAGGGGCAGCTGTGTCGCCCACGGCAGGTGGCAGGAGCAAGGGGAAGAGCAATATGCATTTTTTAAAGATTTATTTGTGTCACTTTTTATTTGTGTGTGTGTGTGTGTGTGTGTGTGTGTGTGTGTGTGTGTG